CATTGTTAAAGGGGAGGGAATGGCCCTTTAAGTGCAAAGAAATCATTTGTCCGATTTGTTTTGAGATATTTGTTTGTGAATAAAATAGTATGTTGGGAAGAAGCAGCCTGCGTTCATCTGCAACAGGAGACTTTCTACCCTGTTGTGTTGCTCTGCTCTGTGGATCGTGAAACAAGGCGTTTGTAATCTCCAGGAGATGTTTGTTCCATGGCATGATACTGGCCTCTCTTCCTTTTAAAGTAAAGCAGTTTATGAACCCTTAACATGTAAATATAACCCCAGCTGAGAATTGGTAAGGGGGGCAGGCAGTACATGCATATAGATCCAACATGCGATCTTTAGTTTAGGATCAGTTACTCCAAAAATTGAGGTTTTGTTCATCCCAAAATTTGAATTTAACACCTGTAATCTTTAGATCAACTAAATTCTTATGTTAATCATTTCACTATTGACCAAGGGCCTGATCTGAAGGCTATTGAGATCAATGGGAAGATTGCCACTGAATTCTACATGCTTTGAATCAAGCCCCTAATATACAAGAATCCCCGCAGAAGTTATCCAGAACAATGCCTGTTAAAATGAGTGGAACCAAAGGAAGATGTATTTCAAAACCGCCGCCCCCACCCATTTCAAGTGTCACTCCTCATGCCTAGGAGACAGCATTGACCATTCAGCCTGGCTGAATGTTGTCAGATCATTCTCGGAAACGCAACCTAGGGACAGCACTACTAAGAATGCCATTCCACCGAATCTAAGTCTGCAGAAAGGATGGCTGCAGGGGAATGCCGCCCTGCCTTTGTGATAAATGATTAGAGCCTGCCTTTTATTTACCAGTGAGCTAATGAAGTGGCGCTAGAAATAATAATAGGCTTTGTTTAGCTATTTCAACTCAGCTAGTGGCCAAGCTGCTGACTTCTGAGCCATTTGCTGCCTTGCAGATAGCTGCTCGGGTAAAATTCAGAGCAGCGTTATCCTACCTGGGCGATATGCGATACGCTCCTGGCTTAAGCCTTCCTGAGGCTATGTCTACACTTGCAGAGTTTTTGCGTTGTCAGTGTCAACGGTGATAGTGAACCCGTCAATGGTTTGTGTTCTCACTTACTTCCACAGGCGTCAGAGAGTGAAAAGAATGCCTGGGGGCAGCTGTGAGATATATGGCACCCCATGAGATGGCTCTCTCAATATTTCCAGCCTACTTCTGCAAACTCAGGAGGTTTTGAATAGTTCGGATGAGATCTGAATAAGGGATTCTTACCCAAATCAAACCCCACAAATGATCTGAAATTCCCCTGTGACCAAATCTTACCATCAACCCCTTTCTAACACTGGGAAAGATTAATTCCACCTGTCTGTGAGGGGGAGAATGACTCATTTGGCTGATAGTATTAGTGTGGGTTTCCCCCTCTGTTACTGGTGGGCATAAGCTAGAAAAGCTGATGAGGTTCCATCTAAAAGTGCTTCTATTATGGGAGAATATTAATTCCAGGCTCATCTCACTGGCGTTAAAAACAATTTAATATTTTGTCTTAATTATTATGATTATTGTTGCTTTTAGAATATTCAGTCAAAAATGAAAAAGTCAGAACCTTTGGGGGCGTTTCAACTTTTCTTAGCTGTCAGACAGTAAAATTGGTCCCATAGGAATCAGCTGAAAGAATTTTGAAGCAGAAATAAATACGAAAACTCTGTTGTCATTTTGCTTTTTCTGATGCTTGAGAATCTATAAACAACATTCCTCTCCATGGAAATCTGTTTGTTACTACAAATTACGGGAACATGTTCCCACCTATAGTTATCTCATTACACCCCACAATTGCATTTTTTTTAAATAAAAACAATTCATATAACCTCTTTGCAGTGTTCCAGAACCGCTTTAATAATTTAGATGCAAACACAGGTTCCTATTAAATAAACCACTAAATAATTGGGAGTTGTTTAGGGAGCAGTTGAGCTTGAAGAGAAAATGATGTCATATTTGAGGTTGGTATTGGGCTGTACCTCCCCCAGCATTTTCCAGTTAATTTTTACAACCAGAAAAAAAAGCCATGCCATTTATTTTTTCATGCCCCTTGCTATTGTTTAAAACATTTAAATTCTGTCTATAGTGGACTGCAACAATGGTGAAAGACATACAGTTGTGGCTTTTTTATGTAACCTTCACTGGAGTGGATGTACATGTCCATGAATTTGTTGATCTCATCACCGTCCGCAGAAGAACTCAAAATTCTACTTTTTAATGCAAAATCAGTCTGACCAAGAAGCTTGTTGGCTCCTGATTTTGGAGTAACATGCACCTCCAAGTTAAATATCCCGTGAAGAAATCCATCAGTGAGAAATCATAAGACAGTCCAAGGAGGCATGGTCATATGCTAACTGCATGCATGCAGATATAGACAGGAGATCTATATAAAGTAGGACATTTAGCTGTGTAGGCAAAGGCCATCAATATTCAGAGCCTTCAAGGCTATGATCAATTAGAGAGCTTGAAACACAGACCTCAGGGTCTGCAGAGCCAGCCAAACCCCTTATTTTCCAATGTTTTCTGGGATTTCCTGAGCCTTCTGGATGATGAAGGTTGTGCAGTATTGTACACATACTTTACATACATTGAAGTATGTTGGGGGATGAATGGCTGAATACAATGAAGAATGAATGAAAATGCCATGCAAAGTATTTGGCTTCTAGCTTCAAATTCTGTTCTACATACATTCTTTTATCACCCTCATCAACATAGCGTCTGATAGCTTCCCAGTAGTGTATAAATGACATGACTAACATCTGTCACGCATGGTTCATTTTCTCCCCAGGGGGAGAATCATGAGAGCAGTGTAGTGTTATGGTAGGTTATTTGGTTTTTTTCTTTGTATGTCCATGCTGCTCCATGTCTACATGAGAGAAGGCAAGTCACAGAAGTATGCCTTGCCTTGTGAGTGGCATTGTGAGGTTTAGGACGGTCCTTGGTTCCTGTGGGAGTTTGTTCCATAGTCTCAGACAAGCCTTCAAGAAAGCTCTGTTTCCTGCACAGATGAGCTTCACCTTTGTGGAAGAAAGTTCCATTGTGCTCTAGAACTCAAGGTGTCAACCACCATCCTCATCTTGGAGCTTTAGGCCCAAATCAGCCCAGGTCAATAGTAACTAAAAATGGTTACCACCTGATCGAGGACTGATTGCCTTTGTGAAATGGATGGGTGGTCTCAGAGCCATGGCCAGCAGTCCGCATTGTAGTTAACATTAATTGATACCTCTCTGCGCAATCAAGGCTTTAATGGCTGTCTTCCCAGCCCTGAAGCTGACATTCTACAGAAAAGTGCGTTCACTGCCCCCGTAGCTAATTATGGAGGCGCCAGTTGCAGCCCCATAGTTAAGATTAAGTTTTGTGCAATGCAGAGGGAGTCAACCTGTAGTTATATATGAAAAACACAGCTTATCCTCCCCAAAATTACAGCACTTACTCTTTAATAGATCTTCAGATATACAGCTGTTATTCCAGCACCTGTCACCCGCACTAACATGAATAGAGCTGGGTGCAATGTTTCAGTTTTCTGATTTCCACAACATTTTTTAAAAAATACAGTGCTGTAAATACTAAGCACAAAAAAATGCTAACAAGAATGAGCAGCGCTGATTTCCAAAATTCTCCACATATTCATGTTCTTCCCTTTCTAGAAGAGGTTGCCAAGGTTTTTATTTTATTTTTAATCTCTCCGTCAAGATTTAAATGCCAACAGATGAAAGAGGTTTATTTCCAGAACGTCATCAGCTTTAAAAAGTCCTCTATAGTCATAAATATGATTAGACGCTGATTAGTAGAAAATGCAAACATCAAGCCAACATCTGACAATTTGATGTTTGTGTTTGGTAACAAACTGTCCACAGACCACACTTAGGCCAAATTGGGTACTTGTAGGTTATTAGTCCACAAGTAAGCAGTATTTTGAGCTATTATCATTCATATTTGCTTTGCATTGAATGGAGTGTTTGGAGATCTCTAATGAAACCTGCAATGAGCCTAAAACTGCTAAAGGAATTAAAAGCCCCTGTACAGAAGATGCCGCTTAATGGGCAACCTTCTGTCTTAAGAGGTTGCCCTCAAAGTATCCACAAACATGTTAAGCACAGTTTACTGCACCTTCATTAGAAAGCCTTCTCTGTTAAACAACTGATTTTTTCCAAGTTCTCTCTAGTTGTGATTCACTGTTATTTCAGCCATGAGTGCATTTTTACAGAGAAATTATACATTTGAAAATAGAGATTTAAAATGGAGATGTCGAACCGAAAATGTGGGGTGCCCAGGTTAAAACACTTTTAGACCTGATCTTGCTGTCCATTAAGTTAATGGGGATTTGGGCATTGCCTTCAATGGAACAGGATCAATCCCCCCAAAAGCACATTTCTCTTCACTCCCTTTAATAATACCTTAGACTCGGAAAATGGATTTTTAAAAATATTATTTGCTTTTGACCATTTATGCCGTTTACATTTTGCACTACAATTAGTCTGGGGAGACAATGAAAATAGATGGGTCAGTTTTACCTTCAGGTTCTCTTGCACTACAACATTGACATCTGTGGCTTGCAAACATGGTAGGGGCTTAAGTCCTCTCCTTCAGATCTGGTGTTGCATTGGAATTTAAAAATCTAGAAATGTGTTAATCAACACAGTGCTTGGGAGAAGCCAGTGGACTTTGGGAGGAAGAGAAGAGTCTCCTGCTGGGTTATTTGGGCTGGGCATTTGGAAGGAGATTTTAGGTATAAGTGTTGATCCTGGAATGGATCTGGATGGGCAGTCCCATTGACGTCAGCGGGAATCCACACAGGCACAGGGCTCTGCCTATGTGGATTCGATTGCAGGATCCGGATCACAATTTGTAAATGCTCTTGTGTTCCTTCTGGAAGAAAGGTGCCACATAAGTGTAACTCATTGCCGATGCTAGTCCTATCACAAGCAGTGGGGCTGGAAATCAAGTGGAAATTTGTATATCGATCTCTCCTTTGTTTTAGATTCACCAAGATGAAGACGGCCACCAACATTTACATCTTCAATCTCGCCCTGGCCGATACCCTGTGTCTGATAACCTTACCCTTCCAGGGTACGGACACGTTCCTAGGGTTCTGGCCCTTTGGAAACATCCTCTGCAAGATCGCCATCTCCATTGACTACTACAACATGTTCACCAGCACTTTCACCCTGACCATGATGAGCGTGGATCGTTACATCGCCATCTGTCACCCCATCAAGGCGCTGGATATCCGTACCCCCCACAAGGCCAAAGTGGTCAACATCTGCATCTGGGCCCTGGCTTCAGTCTTCGGTATCCCAGCTATGGTGATGGGGTCAGCAGAGAATGAAAATAATGGTCAGTAAAAATGAACTAACGGGATATTCTCCAAACTAGACTCTGCATCCATGTGATAGGTGCACAGAGTTCCAATATCACTAGCTCATTAAGTCTGTCTGCTACTGTAACACCCCTTCCCTCATGGGCTATAAGCATGTTTTAAACCACAATCTTCATCTCCACAATATATAAAATGTTACTTGAGATAAAGTAGTAGTTCCATAAGTTGGTAGCTGTAATAGGCTTTTATCCTCTGGTGACAAGAGCAATGTTGCACGTGGTTGGGGAAAATAATCCTTTCCTACCCAGTGGCACTCAGTTTACAATCTGAAGCATGAGACTTGATTTCCCTAATGTCTGTTAATCAGTTCATATGCATCTGTTATCCATCCTCCTGCATGCAAGAGTCCCTCTTACAATCTTACAGTGAGTCCTTTAAAAAAGAGTGTTAATGGTGATCCTATAGTATGTACGGATACACCATGGTGGAATTGATTCTCTGGCAACTCAGCTGTTGGATCCTGACCAATCAAAAAATGTAATGACAATCTCAAAGCAATCGCTGCTGGACGAGAGTCAGAAATGTAGTGCCTGTATCTCTGTCTTCCTAGCCCATTTCCTTAGAATCTTTCCTTTTTTGGAAATTCTGAAAATCCTCTTGGTTTCCCCCATCTTAACCCCTCTTTCGCTGCAAGGTTTTCTATCAGAGCCACTGCTTTTCTAGTTGAAGGGGGCTGGATGCAGGATCCCTTCAGAGCCAATCGACATTGATGGTCAGTATTCACAGAAGCTATTATAATACTGACAGACCTCAGTCATCGGTGGGCGGGATTGAACCTGGGACCTCTGGAGCTTAGTGCATGAGCCTCTACAGCAGTGGTCCCCAACGCGGTGCCCGCAGGCGCCATGGCGCCTGCCGGGTCATCTATGTGCACCCGTGCACTGGCCGGCGGGCAAGCATCCGCCGAAATGCCGCCGAGAAGCAGCGTCATCAAGAGGCGTCACCGCCGAAATGCCGCTGATTTTTGGCGGCATTTCAGCGGCGACGCCTCTTGACGTTGCCGCTTCTCGGCGGCATTTCGGCGAAGGCTTGTCCGCCAGCCACGGTCCTCGGTGGCTCATCGTCCGGCACCCGCCAGATGAAAAAGGTTGGGGACCACTGCTCTACAGTATGAGCTAAAAGCCAATTGGCTGTTAGCTAAGGCTGTAGACCAGACTCATTTTAGCTCGCTCTCTAAGTAGTCTTGGGGCCACTAGATGGGACAGACCACCACATCCAGAAGGTGTGTGGGTAACACTATCAGCCTTTAAAATCTCTGCAACCAGCAGTTGCCATGTCCACAGTGTTGAAGCCATAACAATTCCTGAGCCAGGGAAATTAATCCTTATCTTGGCACCCAGAGTATTTTTTCTAAGCAAACAAATAATTAATTAAAAAAATAAAATAAAAGCCCTTGCCGATTCTCGTTTCACGTGGCTGAGAATGATGAAAAGAACATTATCTTCCGCCTGTTCTCTCCACTTGCACACAAGCCTCAAGGGACCAATAAGCTTTCCTGACTGCTTGCCTGGCTTGAAACGAGACGGGGTAATCTTGGGCTTCCAGGGTTTTAACTTTCGCTTTAATGCCATCCTTAGCATGCAACTCAAACGATCAGCACAATTTTTGGAATTGAGAAGAAGGAAGAGACTGTATCTGTGACGCCATAAAGCACAGTGAATCATATTTCATGACCTTCGGGTGGATTAAGCCTGACACATTTCATGACCTTGAATGGTCTCTTTAGACTATGTGTTCATTACTTATGCTAAACTATCGGTTCGATCTTTTATTTAGCGGTGAGGCTCTCAGTACCTTTCCCAGACCCGAAAAAGAGCTCTGTGTAGCTCAAAAGCTTGTCCCTCACACCAGAACACGTTGGTCCAATAAAACGTATTCCCTCCCCCAAGTTGTCTCTCTACATTTCATCAACAGACTTTCTAAAATTCTTCCTAAGCACTTGTCCTAATGTGTGGCTACATGGGAAGCTGAACACGAAGGCAAGATGCCTCGAGCTGTTAGCTGTCCTTATGCTTTCACTAATGTGGTGAAAGGGTCTCTTCCTTAACATGACATCGCTCTTTTTTTACAGCTCCTGTGGGACAGGAGCAGTTGCATCACCTACGTGTCCATTTATGCTCAGTGTGACGCGGAAAGTTTTAGCCCAAAGGGTGTCATCCTTTAGACATGACTTTGTTAATGAATTCCACTCGGAGTGCCTTTACAGTCTCTGGGAATACGGATATTTCCAGTTTAAAGACACTTACAGGGAGACCAAAGGGTGCTGGAAGAGAGAAGGAATGAAAACTTCCTGTTTGACCTTGGGCAAGTCGCTTATCCATCTCTCTGTGTCTAGTCGCCCAGAGAAAGCACCGTACTTTAATGGGTAGGTCACTCGACTGGGATTCCAGAGACCTGGGTTTTATTCCAGTTCTGAAACTGATCTGCTGTGTCTCCTAGGGCAAATCACTTCACCGTGCCTCTGTTTTCCCTCCCACCTTTTGTCTGCTTAAATTGTAAACTCTTAGGGGCAGGGCTGATTCCTGCTCTGTGTTTGTACAGAGCCTAGCACAACAAGGCCCTGAGCTCTGTTGAGCATTAATAAAATAAATGAAATTAGCAACAAGAGTGACTGCAAGAGAATTGTCGGATTTACAGATGGTACCAATGTTGTTCTCAATACAAGTTGTCTTTTTCTTTTCTTTGCAGAGATTGATTGTCTAATTAAGCTCCCTAAACCTGTGGATTACTGGGATCCAGTATTTGGGATTTGTGTCTTTCTCTTCTCCTTCATGATCCCTGTGTTGATCATCACCATTTGCTACAGTCTTATGATCCGGCGTCTTAAGAATGTCCGTGTCCTCTCAGGCTCCAAGGAGAAGGATCGGAATCTGCGGCGCATCACTCGAATGGTCCTGGTGGTGGTTGCTGTCTTCATTATTTGTTGGACCCCCATTCAGATTTTCGTGCTGGTCCAGTGCCTGGGTGCAAAGGCCGAAAGCGAGCTCGAGTTAGCCATCTCATGCTTCTGTACTGCACTGGGATATGCCAACAGCAGCTTGAATCCTGTCCTCTATGCCTTCTTGGATGAGAACTTCAAGACGTGCTTCAGAAAGTTCTGCTTCCCCACCGCCTTCAGAACAGAGCTCCAGATGTCCAACAGGATGTGCAGCATCGCAAAAGATGTCGTTTATGCCTGCAAGAACTCAGAGGGGACTAACAATCCAGCATGACTAGGCATGGAAATTCCCATGGTGGCTGTCAGCCAGCAGAGCCCAACGACCCCCACTTCAGAGCTCACTCAGATAACAGCTCTTTAACAGGAGCTTTCTGAACCAGAATTGGAGACTGGAAACCTAGGCAGCAATCTGGGGGCAAGGCAAATAAAAGAACTGCAAGAGCATGCAGAAAAGTGAGCCATTTTGACACCTTTCTTATTACACTGCTCTCCCTATTAAATACTATATTTTAACTCAGCCACCATTAAGTCCTATGAGCCACTAAGGTCATGCACTTTGCTTACGGTTATAAAGAATTCAGGAATTAGAATCAAACTCAGACTTTGCTCCTGAGGTTTATTTTGCCATTGCTTCTGGAAAGCAGACAAAATGCTAATAACTTTTCTTGCTTGAGTTAGTTCAGTGGCTCATCAAATAATATGGATTGTCGCGTGCTTGTGTGGGAATTTTAGGCCAGCCGCGTCTCTCTGAAATGAGGCTTCATTGGCTCCAAAGCAAGGAACAGCAGTGAAACAAAACAAAGATCATTTCCAGAATTACTTATGACTGGTGTGTGTGTGTGTGTGTGTGTGTGCGCGTGGGGGAATTCAGACACTCCAGCCAAGAAAGAAAGAAGACTAGACAGTGTCACTGCATGGCTGGATATCTCAACTCAAAGCCACTGAAAGAGAAGTGGACAACTTCCAGTGAAGGAACATACTAAAATCAAACCGTGTGCCACAGAGGTGGGGGACAGGGCGGGAGGGCTGTGAAGGGATTGTAAAAAATGACAAACAACTGCTTGGAAAGGGTAGAAGGCAAGACAAATGAGACAAATGTAAATTCAGAGGAAAGAGCTGGAATTGCTTTTTCTACATTTTCATTATAACAATGGATTGTACTTTGTGTGTGTGTGTGTGTGTGTGTGTGTTTGTGTGTGTTTGTGTATGTATATATACACACACGTCTATATAGAGATATAATTAATATTTCAACTTGCCAGACATTTCTCAGAGGCATTTCCCAATGGAGTCAAGATGACAGGTTAAATCAATGGAGTGACTTAACATGCAAAGACATTTCAAGTTAGTTATGATGTCCTGAAGAAAGTACTGATATTTTGACAGCAAGGCATCTGAAAACACTCCAAGTTCCTCTGCTATCCTCCCTTCTGCTCCCTGTAATATGGACAAACAGTTCTACAAACAGATCGGCTGAGTGGCACTGCAGACAGAATGCTGGAAGAGGGAGCCTTTCCCCCTAAAGTGCTCTGGGCATACTGCTCCAATCAGCTAGTGGGCACCCCCACCCAGCTGTGCGTCGCTTTTATGACACAACCGACTTGTCACCTCAAGTGAAATCATCTGCCCCGTTGTGTCATTAAAAACTGAAAGTGTTTATGAAGAATAAACCACTCAACCCTCCCTCCACGGGCTGCCTCTGAAAATGGAACCTTTTCTTTCTGTAGCACAAGAGACCAGGAGACTAGTGGGGGCGGCAAAGAGTGGAAAAAAAGTTTCCTGACTGGCTGAAAGCAACAGGACTGTTTAAAACAGTTTGAGCTGGGGGTGGTAGGCTCCAAAATGAAGGAGGCAGCAACTCTTGCACTTCATACCAATTGTACAGATTTTCTTGTGCTCTGTTCTGCGAAATGATGTATTTTTAATGTGTTGATATGCTGACATTTTAATGCTGCACTGTTCTTTATATATATATGCTGGATGAGAACACAATGTTATATTTCTATGTAAAGTTTTTCTCTTTTGGCAAGGCTTGGAGAACAATTAAAATTCCTAAGTCACACACCTAGGAACCAGACCACTTGTAAACTATGCTAAATTGTACATGCTCTGGGAACCAGAAGGAGTCTCAAGCATCTGTCGTGGGATTTAAAGGGATTCAGTAGAAAACTTTGTAATTAATATTTTCTATTAAGCATTGAGGGGAAAAAGACAGGCCCAGTAAATACTTTGCAATGGATAGTTACCCCCAAACAATTGCACCAGCAATGAGGACTGATATGATTACCCATAATAAAATATCAAGCATGCAGAGAAGTAACACCTGAAAACAATGTATCTTAAAGCCATTGCTGGCAATTGCATCCATATCCTTGGAAGATAAAAATAAGTTTTCTTTTTTTTTTTTAATTTTTAATGCACGTAATGACAACACTACTATTCAATGAAGAATCTTGATTTTTCTTAACCATTAGCCATCACCTCTTTTGATAGGGTTGTTTACATGTTGTACACAAAGTGTGAAGAGGTTGAAATCGATGCACAATCACTTTCTGAAGTGCTGTTAGGGGACCCAGGCAAATGAGGTTTTTGACAGGAGAGGGTTCAGTGAATGACTGATCAAAGAACCTCAATGAACCCCTTTTTAGTTCTTGGTTGGATTGTTAAATACTTTTATGTCCTTAAGAAAAACTCTTGGGTTTCTTCTATCATTTAAGATGACACACACACGTATATATATATATTAAAAGTTGGGTGGCATTTTTTAAACAGAAATGATTTTGTTATCTTAACCTATGCTCAACAATCCTACAGAAACAATGTACTCAGTGTCTGCCTACTCAGCTTTTGGATAATTCGTGGCCTTTGCCGTGAGTGTGTTATACATTCTGATTTATGCTCAATGGAATTTGTTATAAGAAGAGCAACTACAACAACAATAGACGCTTTATTGTACTGTGCCTCTGGAAGTAAAGAATCATGGCTGGCTGAAATGCAAGCCCTTTAATTATCTTCTGAAATTGTTGTGGTGGTATGATTGAGCTTATGACTATTGCAGTGTAAATGGCAATTTCCTACATGGTTACTTGTGCTTTAATAAAGGAAAATAAACTCCTGCACTTTGAATGATGTGGAATGTGATGGCTTAATTCTATGAACTGCCTGGTTGTTGCCACAGTGGAACTACTGGAATATTTGCTCTTTAATACATAGGCTGATTTATAGGGTAGTAGCCATTTATGGGTCAGTCCCAATCAGTAAGATTGGTGGGGTTGATCCCAACACCCCCTGAAGTCAATGGGAGTTTTTTGATGTTGACTTCACTTGAAGCAAGGCAACCTAGAAACAGCTAAAATAGAAATGATAGAAAATAGGTAGCTAGATGCTAACAGCCCAAGTTCAACTGTATCTGTTCATTAAATTAATCAGTACAGGACTGATCCAAAACCTGTTGAAGACAATGGAAAGGATCTCATGGACTGGGATCTGGCCCATATTGTACAATTGGGGAAAGAGTCCACAACTGCTGATTGGTCGTTAGAGACAAAACCAGATGGCCATTCCATAAGCAAGATAATCCCAGCTACTAAAATTTAGTCACACCCAATCACTTCTGGCTCTTGTGCTGTTAAAATTAGCCATTTGTAATTGGTTTAGCTCAGTGGTTCTCAAACTGGGGCCGCCGCTTGTGTAGGGAAAGCCCCTGGCGGGCCGGGCCGGTTTGTTTACCTGCCGGGTCCGCAGGTTCGCCGATTGCGGCTCCCACTGGCCGCGGTTTGCTGCTCTAGGCCAGTGGCGGTTGCAGGAAGTGGCGGCCAGCACATCCCTCGGCCCGCGCTGCTTCCCGCAGCCCCCATTGGCCTGGAGCGGTGAACCGCAGCCAGTGAGAGCTGCGATCGGCCGAACCTGCGGACCCGGCAGGTAAACAAACCGGCCCAGCCCGCCAGGGGCTTTCCCTACACAAGCGGCGGCCCCAGTTTGAGAACCACTGAACTAGATAGTCCCAATAGTCCCTTCTGGTCTTAAAAATCAATGAATCCATGAAAAAGGTAACAACCACCTCTCCCCCATACTGAATTCTCAATATTCCAGTGAACCAAAACCCCAAGGTAAAGACACAGGAATAGTACCTGGAAGAAAACTTGATTGTGAAAACCTACAGCTGCAGCTTATCTATGGAAGAATGCTTATTATTTATATTTCTACGGAAGATGTGCCCTTAGTAAAAACATCCTCTGATGCAGACAAAGCACAAAGTCGATAAAGATCTTCATGTTAATGCAGAAATACTCATTAACGTCTCAGATTTCCTGGTGAAGATTCGTTAAATCCCCAAAGAACTGCACCTCCGCCTCTGCACTCCAGTCTCTGATACATTATTGCTAGACATGATAATATGTGCAGAGAGACTCTGTGATTCTTCTCACTGACTGCTGCTTTATAGCTGCACATTTAAAGTGAATGCTGTTGATCGCTATTGTTTGTATATTTTAATGAAACAGACTTCTCCAGAAGAAGATTAGAGCTACAATCCCTTTTATTTCACATTAAACAGAAAGGGATTTTTTAAAATGGAACAAAAGAGAGATCAGCTATCGCAAAAGGTGTTAACTTTCCCACTAATTTTCTGTATTTCCCCATAGATTTCTGAAGAACTTTCTCTCATTTATGCCTCTCTAGTCTATGCAGAACATAGGACCTTCCCTCTTTGCTGCAATCTTAGCTATCTACCCATATTTTTTTATAGCTTTCAGTTCTGTTTCTGTTCTGTATTTCCATGTTATTCTTGGTCTACCATGCCACCTTTTGCCTTAGGAGTTCCAGTCCAATGTCTGTCTTGTTATGTTAATCAGGTCTTTCCTCCATGTATGCCCTAACCATCTCAATTTTTGTTCTGTAATCTCCTGTCCTATCGGTTTCTGTTTTGCCCTCCTCCAGAGTTCTTTGTGTTTTTTTCCCCTAGCCATCTGATATTGAGGATTTATCTAAGGCAGCTGTTTATGAAAACTTGGAGTTTAGATAGTAAGGTCTTAATAAGTCTCCAAGTTTCAGCATCATATAGTAAAACTGACTTTACAATGGTGTTAAATATTTAAAGTTTAGTTTGGAGGACAAGATTTCTGTTTCTCCATATCAGCTTTAGAATTACATAGACATGTCTGGCTGTCACTATTCTGGCTTTAATGTCTTTAATTTGTTTTCGGTGTTGTGCTTAAAATGCTGCCAAGATATGTGAAATATCAGACCTCTTCTATGTCAGTCCCAAAAAGCATT